CTGCTGCTTGTCCAGTTTGTCCGAATCCAGGGCTACCAACAGTTTGGTTTGGTGGTGCTTGACCAAAAGCGGTACTGCCAACCGTTTGGTTTGGAGGAGCCTGTCCGAAACCTGGACTGCCAACTGTTTGGTTCGGTGGTGCTGAGAAACCACCAAATGAGAGTGGCTTAGTTGCACCAAATGGAGAACTGGTGGTTGTTGTTGAACTAGCAACTGAAATAGGTTAAAAATAATAATTTAAATGAACATACATGAATTCCCATAGCAGGCATACAAGTTGATAATGTTCAGATTAACAAAAATAATATTATGAATGGATGAGATTCATGAGCGTCGGTGGCTCAGTGGTTTAAGCACTTGACTTGTAATCTACAGGTCTTGGGTTTGAATTCCGCCATGTACCAATGTGATTTTCGATTTTTCCAATTTTCATATGTACATAATTTACCCGACGTTCTTACGGTGAAGGAAAACATCGTGATGCAACCTGCACATATCAGTGAAGAAACTCAAAGATATGTGTGAAGTTGACCAACCCGCACTGGGCCAGCGTGGTTGACTATGGCCTAATCACCCTAATTTAGGGTAGGCTCTGAGCCCCTCGATGGGGACATATAGTGAGCTGGTGATGATGGATGAGATTTACTTGTGTATCTTCAAATTGGCACAGATGTGGAACATAATCAGAAAAAATACATGTGCAGATTTTTTTTTAATTTAAGTTTGTGGGTCAAAGCTTAACTTACACAAATTTGAAGTTGCTGCAGTTGTCTTGGGGCCAAATGAAAAACCACCAAATGGCTGGGAGCTTGTTGTGGGTGAAGCAAATAAGTTTGTTTTGTTGTCTGAAAAATTGCATACACACAAAAGATATATATAGCCTATAATACTCGCAGATAAATTACCTTCATGGTAAAAGAATATTTGAATCGGCCAAGTAGTTTTTACTTAAACTGAATGCAAAAATCATATCTCTCCTCTTTTTAACATTACTATGAAAGTATGGTTAGTTGTAATACACATTTCAGTTAAAATTAATATATTTTTTAACCATATAACTATCTGTTGCTTATGACTTTGCCTGTGCAAAATTAAAAAAAACATAGCCTATGTTGCTCGGTGATAATATAGCTTTTTAATGGCATAAGAATGTTTGTAATCGAGCCAGGAGTTTTTGATTAATTTCAATACATACAAAAATAAAAAAAAAATCTCTGTATAACATTAATATAGATAATAAGATATAGACTTATGTTAAGTGAAAAATTGACAGTATTCTTGCTGTAATAGTATTTACTTACCACCAGATGGACTTTGAAAAGTTTTATTATCCCCTCCTCCGAATAGTGATCCTGGAAAAAAATTGATAACATTTCTATAAAATACCATTAAAATGGTTTATCAGAAATTACAATATATGTACAGTTTCTAATTATTTCTCTACACAAGATTTAAATGGTACAAAATGTAGTTATGTACAAGTTAGTAGTTAATAGAAGCTACTGCTAGTAGTTAGCAATGATTAGCAGTTTACAGCACATGTTTGTTCACTTGTAAGGAAACTAAAGGACGAAAACAAAAATGAGAAACCAAAATGTGCTAGTTTTGACAATCAATCTTGTTTTTTAATGTTACTGGTATTGTGTTTACAACAAAATGATAATTTTCATAATATAGTATATTATTTTCGCATGCTTGGTATGTTTGAAAAACGACTTTCTTACCTGCCGTTATTGTATTGGTACTAAAAGCAGTTCCCGAAGCGGTTGTTGTTGTCTGTCCGAATGAAAAACTCATGGTTTTGTCTTATTTTGCCGTCCTCTTATGTGTTTATTTAAATTATTTGTAAACTTTTAGAGAATACCGCCGAATATTTCACAACTTATTGCAAATTGCAAAGCGAAGTATTGACAAGTCAAATGTCAAGTTTATCAAAGAGTAAAGAAAACCACAGAATAAGAAATACCAACATAAATTGCATAGATAAAATACAAAACCAAAGATTTGAATTATTTTTGGTAAATTCACGGAAACCTGTTATTCGAGTTGGTAGGTAAATCTTGACCAAATTATTTGACCTGAAAATGGATATATAGTGTGATTGTTAATGACGTGTAACGCAACTTCGGGGAAGACGAGGTGCAAGGGCGCGCGGGGGTGCGGAGACCAATCGACATCGGTGCGCTTGCGACGTCATTCAGCTAAAAATCGATTATTATATGAACGTACTAAGTGGTGCTAAGGATCTGTTTAAAGTGCAAATTTTTCAATACAAAATTTAAAGGAAGAAACGCAATTTTATTTACGCAAAAAACATGAATTACAAACGAAATAGCGTCTCACCTTCTGGCGACATATTCTCGGTTTAATTGTCGTTCACTTTGTACATCATACTTCATAATAATATTTTAAATGCGAAAGTCTAGATGGATGGATGGATAGATGGATGTAAACAGCTAAACCGATTTCATTAAATTTGGTATAAAACTAGAGTATAGTCTGGAATTTTTTCCAGAAAAGTGAGTAGACTATGTGTTTACATAGTCTACTCACGGGTCGCGGGCGAACGCTATTTTTTAAATAAAACAAATTAAACATACATTTTGAAAATAACACTAAGTATTAACTGAGTATACTTTGGAATCCAGGAATGCCTTAAAGAGTTTAAAAGAATACGAAGACATCACAACAGTCTCAATTCTGTCTTGAGAATAAGTGTTTAAAGTTTGCAATGTTTGTCTCAAGTATTTATCGCAATGCGCTGTAACATGTAACATTTATTTCTGTGAACTATCAGTTCAGAAACTCGCAGTTCACAAAGGAAAGTTATTTATCGACTCTTGTAACAAACGACTGCTTCCCAAACTCTGCATCACTTCAGACAAACTTTGTTGACTTGAGTTGACTCTTTGAGCTGTTTTAGATTGAAAAATCTTATGCTGAATCTTCAATTTTATTTTATAACTTTATACACTTTGTAAGTAATACATGAGCATTATTCTATTTCAAAATCATACTTCATACTAATATTATAAATGCAAAAGTTTAGATTGGATGTTTGTTAGAGTTTGTACCCTAAACGGCTGAACGGATTTCGATGAAATTTTTTATGGATGCACAGGATAGTTTGGAAGAACACATAGGCTACTCACTTTTGTCTTTTTAAATTTCACACCAACGGAGTCGCGGTCGACAGCTAGTCATTCAAAAAAAGATTGACTTCCTTTTTGTTTAACTTTAAATACAAAGCAAAAGAAAAATTAGATTTTCATTACATTTATCAGAATAAAATAAAAAGTAAAAACAAAGATGCTATAATTATGAAACACAAAACCATTTTTAGTTTAAATAGAACAAAATACTGGAAAACTGGTTATTCAATTTAATTTAATACAAGTTAAAGAATCAATACGTAAAATTCTGATGCCGTCTTCCATTCCATTCTAATATATTTTTTTTATATAGCATAAGGTGGCAAACGATCAAGCGGCGCGCCGCCAAAATGGCGAAGCGACCGCTGCCCATAGACATCCGCAATTACAGATGCGTTGCCTACCCTTATACGACGGAAGAGGAGACGCATATAAAGAGCATATTTCCCCTTTCTATGCATCTCCTCCACCCTCAAATCCACTTCCCCTTCCCAACCTTTCCTTATAAGAAAAGGGTGGTAAAGAGAAAGGGACTTAAATTAGGCCTCCGGCACCACACTCATCAGACGAAACACGGAATTGCTTCCATTTGACGCCTGTCTTCTGTGTGGTCGTGGTATTACACCGGGTGTGCCGGCCCATTCGTGTTAAGATGTTAAAGCGGGCACCACCACTGTTATTCAATTTTAATACTTACTAATATTATAAACGAGAATGTTGAATGGATGTTAGACGTATCTCTAATACAGCTCGTCGTATTTCAATTAAATTTAGCACAGATATAGAATATAATCGGAAGAAATACAAAGCCTTAAAAAGTTTCCATTCTGCACAGAATTTGCTAACAGAAGCTTTAGGTTTTTTTTTGAAGAAATATTAGTAGATTTTTGTTAATTTACTAATATTTCCTTCAAATTGCAACTAAGCTCTAGGCTTGTGTTAGGATATGGTTCACGACATCCATTAGGCTATTGGCGCTTAAACTAACATTTGAGTAAAATAACATAAAAACAATTAAAAACCAGAGTGTAATGTGACTTTTTATTTCTTAAATATCATGACCCACAATCGGATAAAGATGGCCTTGGCTCAATCTCATCGACTAGTCGAGAATCCATTCAAACAAAGTAACATCGGAATTGAGTCGCAACGCAAATCCAATGAATCCAACCTACTTAAACAAAAGCCTTTGTCAGAGGAAAGGTTTTCTTTTTTTTAATTTCATCTACTACGAAGCGGTTTTACGTTCTTTGCACTTTAATCTTTGGAAGTGATAGAGATATTACGGCTTCAAGGAATTTTATGATTGAATTTTTTTATTTATGGTTTGTTTTTAAAACCTCAGATTTTATATACTGTATATTTGTAGAGAGAGGTTAGAAATAAGAGAGAAAGAGCCTGTTCCATCACTGGCTGATAGAAGCTCGGATAGCTTAAAAATGACGTCTAAGGGCCTGTCCCACCGGTGGTAGATAGAGGCCCTGATAGTGTAAATATGACGTCACGTCAGATAAAATACAAAATTTCTGTCCCAC